CGTCGTTGGTGCGGCAATATCAAACACAAAAGAGTTTATCGACAATATATGAATAGACCAGGTGGTTTTAATAGACCACTCGACTCTGTTCCTTAACAAGTATATTCCTATTCCCATTCAATAGTGGCTGGAGGTTTACTAGTGATATCGTATACAACTCTATTCACTCCATTCACTTCGTTAACTATTCTAGAAGATACTCGTTCCAATACCGACGATGGTATAGAATACCATCGAGCTGTCATATAATCCACCGTTTCTACTGCTCGAAGGGCAATCACATCTTCATAGGAACGAGAGTCACCCATCACTCCTACTGCTTTTACGGGTAATAATACAGCAAACGCTTGACTAATACAACGATAAAGATTGGCGCGTTTCAACTCTTCGATATAAATACTATCCGCATGTCGCAATATTTCTAGTCGTTGTTCGTCAACTTGTCCTAAAAAAACCATTCAGAGAAGCACGCAACAAGGACATCACTTGCACTTAACCAATAATACGAATAGCTAAACCTGGACCTGGAAAAGGATGGCGATAAATACTTTCTTCCGGTATTCCCAATAATGTTCCAAGCTCTCGAACTTCATCTTTGAAGAGATCTCTCAATGGTTCAAGTAACTTGAGATTCATTTTCTCCGGTAGTCCACCCACATTATGATGCGTTTTGATAGTTACAGAAGGTCCCAAATGTGAAGATGACTCGATCACATCTGGATATAATGTGCCTTGCAATAAGAAACTTGCATCCGATGACTTGGCTTCCTTTTCAAATACTTCAACAAACGTCTTGCCAATCACTTTCCTTTTCTCTTCGGGATCCACAACACCTTGCAACAGTTGAAGAAACCGACTAGCCGCATCCACATATCTCAATTGCACACCGCAGGTATCTCGCAAACGATGAATAACTTGTGACGCTTCATCTTTTCTAAGCAAACCATTATCCACCAACACTGCTTCAAACTGATTACCGATTGCCCGACTCGTCAATACAGCAGCAACAGTGGAATCCACCCCTCCTGATACTGCACCAATCACTTTGGCACTCCCAACTCTTTGCCTAATCGACGCAATTGCATTTTCAGAAAAATCTTCCATAGTCCAATCACAACGACAATGACAGATATGGACAACAAAGTTTCTCAATATTTGTAAACCAAACTCTGTATGCGTTACTTCAGGGTGAAACTGTAGTCCATATAAATATGGTTTCATATAAATAGCAGCGAACGAACAATTATCTGTTTTTGCGATGGGAACAGTTGAAGGAGGCAACTCAGTTACCAGATCACCGTGGCTCATCCATACAGTAAACGTGCTAGGAACATCGCGAAAGAGATCTGATTGTTCGATTACAGTTAACATAGCATGACCGTACTCGTACTTGGTTCCTCTTGCAACTTGACCTCCTAATTGGTATGCAATTTCTTGTAATCCATAGCAGATGCCTAGAATAGGGATTCCAAGTTCAAATATCTGCTTCCACGTGTGGGGTGCGCTGTGTTCATAAACTGAACCTGGTCCTCCACTTAGAATGATGCCTTTTGGTTGAATAGACTATAAAGGAAGAACGAAACTATTATCTAGACAAGATAATGGTACTGCACTTTGCTCACCTTGATTTCCTCCAACGAGCGGTCAAAAGGTAATACGATTGAATGAACTTTACACTCTCGAAGTCTTCTAGCAATAGAATGACTGTATTGGGATCCAAAATCTAGAATAAGCACTGTTTCATGACTATCTGTTCTTACTGAGCTTGTCATAGATGAATGACCGACAACAATCGAAAATGGAATACAATTTCAGATAGTCAATGCAAGGCTGGACGATATGTTGTGCTGGAAAACTTTACAACTTTTCACACTATCGAATATGGAGTGAAATATTCCAAATCTCGAAGTATTTGAATGAGTCTCACTTTCTCTTTGTGAGTTTGTAAAACTTATTTATATTCTTTGGTTTCACTAGAACAAGGACTCACCCTGTTAAAGTATTCGGTAATAGATTTGAGTTGTAAGGGTGTCCTACTATCGTCACCTTCTCTCCTTTGACGTTTCCTACTCGGGGTATCGACCTTTACACTATCAGCCCAATAAAGTCTTGTTGCATTGATTGGTGAGTTTGTCACGCAACTACTTGTTTTCATCATCTGTCGAAGCCGTGGTCCTTGCCATAGACTCACCATACAGTCGTCTCCTGAAGTTGCAATCAACTCTGGCTCCGTTCGACACCAAGCAACGTCGGAAACTTCACCTTGATGACCTTCTAACTCGAGGAATGGATAGAGACAAGATTCAGTTGACCTATTTTGGCCAAGATACCAAATATATGCTTTCGAATTACAGGAACCTGTTACCACGAAGTTTCCATCCGGACTAAAATCACACTTTACATAGAATGACATATTCTGACCTCCTGTTAGTATTGTACATGCTCCCCATTCTATTCGGCTAGGATCATATAGATACACTCTGGAGTCAGTAGAGCACGCCAAAAGATATCTACCATTACTATCCATTTGAATGGAAGAAATCCCGTGAGGTCGCGATGTTAGTTCTTCATCACATCCAGGATGACATACGGCAAGAAATTCAACCTCCTTACTTGTAGAAGAGATTTTCCTAATGTCCCATAGTTTTACAGATCCATCAACAGCACCCGAAGTGAAAAGGAGATGGCCATCACTTTGAGGATGAAAAGCCATTCCAGTAACACCATAAGAGGTAGACGCTTCATTTTGTGGGCGCATATCCAAAGCACTTGACGTTCTTCTTCTCTTCGTTACTCGGTCTTGCAATGGAGATGCATAACTTGGAGAATGAACCTGCTGCAACGATAGAACAGGAGATATGGCGTAGTTTTGTCCCAAGAATGTACTTTTCGCAGGACATCTCGTATCCCATAACATTACATTGCCATCTCTACCAGCAGAGCCAAGAATCTTACCATCAGAAAGAGGCAGTTCTCTTACAACTTTCACCGATCCTCTGTGTCCTATGAGGCTGTTTACATGATCCCAAGTTGTTGTGTCAGTTATTCGTATTGTTTGGTCTCCAGAAGCAGTTGCTATTTGTTGGTCTGTTGTACCCAACCAACAGACATCAAATATTGCATTTTGATGGACCAAAGTACTTAAAGCAGCTTTGTTTTTCCAAGCAGCCGGTTCTCTCCATTCATCCAATCTATATGCTCTTGTGTCTGTCTCTCTTGGTATTGTATGCAACCATTTTCTTGTATCTACAACTGTTAAATATCCTTCTTCATCGACACACGCCAATGCTTGTCCATTACAGGCTCGCTTTGAAAATTTTGTGGAAAACACCGGTATGAGTATATCTGCTGCATCTGTATAAAAGTGAAGACAGTGATTTGGAGAAGTTTGTAAGTTCTCGAGGCTATTTCGTAGCGAAGAGCTGGCATACTTTTGAATGGTTGCTTCCTCCAGTATTGCCAGTTCTCGAGATAGAAGCCTGTCTATAATGTTGGAAGTTCTTCTACCCATTTTTTCACGTTTCTTAGGGAGCATAGCCTTTTTCAAGCTCTTGTTGTACTGTAAGTATAGTTATTTAGTGTATCATCCATGCCATCCATGAGCATTATACCAAATAGACCGATCAACAGAATACTGGGGATAATCTGTTCATTTAAATTCAAATTATGTGGCGGGCCAATTTAGTTGAACAAGAAAATGGCGCTTGTTTTCTACCTTTCTTTGATAGCTAAATATCATCAAGAAGACTCAATATAATCAAACAATACTTTTCTCAATAATTTGACGTATTTTACGAAAAATGAACAGAACGTACAGTCTCGTTTACGCTTTTGAAAGAACTGTATACTAATTGTAGTTTCCAATGCCATATCATTTTGGCAGATGTCATTCAAGTATATCTCTCTCTCTCTTTTTTTTTATAGACAAATTCAACGGAAAGGAAACACGGTAAAAATGTATATTCATACAACGACTGTTTATGAACTACGAAGAACTTTTGATTGCATTCCATCTCAAACTCATGGTGTGGTTTTTTCCGTTTTGAAAGAAAATGTGTTGTATGCAATATTACAAAGCCAACTTGCTGAATTTCCACATTTCATAGCGAAAAAAAAGCAAATGTATGGGGAAGATTGGTTACTCAGCATCCAATGAAAGAGAAAAGGCATTATTCCAATGCTGCAAATGGAAGTCAAATGTCTTATGCATAATTGCATGCCTCCGCTAGGAATTTTGTTCATTTCCTCTTCTGTTTTATTTCTGTTTTAAAATCATAGCCATTTGCGAAAGATGAAATCGGTGATTGTGAATATGCAAGTCATCGGAAACTTTCGAAGAATCGATGATATCAAAACTAGTGGACGACGCTATGAAGCTTTGAAACATTCCGACATTCAATCCTATCGCAACGTTTTCATCAAAGAGAAAATCTTGAATGAAGAAGACATATGGTATCAAATACATAGTGTGATAATGGTATATACGTCCTTGTGCCTTGGCATGTGACTATTTTCCAGTTGAAACACAAAGAATGTCTAGCGAACTCAAGTAATAAAATGATATAGAGTCATCGACCAACTCGCTTTCACTTTATTTCCGTCCAGTACTACGACGTAAAACAGTGGCCATCTAACCGACAAAGATGAGCAACAACTCCAGAGACCCACTCTACTCCTTACCTCATCCCTCTTCTTCTTAGCTCTCAAATGAGTACCTAATCTCTTTTTCGCGTATTTGAGTGCACGTTTGTCTTTTCCTACTCTCAGCAGTTCGACGATGCGTTTCTCGTAAGGAGCGAAACCACACACTTCTCGGATGACTTCTCGAACAAATCTGGAGCGCTTCTTCACCCTTCCTCTTCCTTTCGTCGATAGTTTTCTTTTGGTAACGACATGACCTTTATTTAAACCAACTGCGATACCGGAAGGTGTCCTCGTTTCTACTTGGACCATCGCAAGTTTTCAATCCCACTCCACGACGACGAGAGAATCAAATTTGTGTTGAGAGAGTTAGGAGTGGTGGAGGGTTCTTCGCACTGTGTGGGATATCTTTATCTGAATATTGATTTCTATCATGGCAAGATACCAAGGCGCTGCCAAAGGTGGTATAAGTGGTGACCCCAAAAAAGCTGCTACCGAAAGTGCCGACTTTCCCATTCTTTGCGAAAGTTGTTTAGGTCCTAACCCTTACATCCGAATGTTGAAGGACTCCATGGGTGCTGAATGTCAAATATGTACCCGTCCTTTTACTTGTTTTCGTTGGAAACCTGGTGGAGCTGGAACTCGGTATAAGAAAACGGAAATATGTCAAACCTGTGCCCGTTTGAAAAACGTTTGTCAAACTTGTTTATTCGATTTGCGGTACGGGTTGCCCGTTCAAGTTAGAGACCAAGCGATAGCAGAAGGTGATAGACTGGCAACGTTGGTTCCCAAGTCGGATATCAACCGAGAATACTTTGCAGAACAAGCAGACCGCCTAGTAGCCACTGGAAATGTAGAGGCGGTCTATCAACAGCCTGCAACTAACCCTATCGTTGAAAAGCTAGCTAGAAAAGAACCAAGGTATCATAGAAACTTGTCACATGTTTGTTCGTTTTATCAAAAAGGAGAATGCAAAAGAGGAGCTTTATGTCCTTACAGGCATGAAAGAGCTCCCGATGATGAACAACTGACGACACAAGGTATCAAAAACAGATATTATGGAGTAAATGATCCCTTGGCTGAGAAAATGTTGAGAAGATTGGGAGAAAAAACGAGTTTTCCTGAACCACCGACAGACCCGAAAGCAAAGACATTGTTTGTTGGTGGAGTTGGTTCTTTGGTTTCCTATGAAGAGATTGCACAATTATTCGAAAAGTATGGTGAAATAGAAAATATTAAAGTCATTCGTGAAAAGAGTATTGCATTTATCGAATTTAAGGAACGCATTGCGGCAGAAAGGACAATGGAAACGTTATATGGAAAAGTTCATCTTGGAGGACAGAAAGTTTTCCTTAATTGGGCTAAGCCTCATGAAGAGAACGATAATCTAAATGATCCTTCTACTATGTTACCAGATAACTATTCGGTAAAAAATAAGACAACTGAGAATGATAACCTTTCAGAGGCACTCAAGGACACTCAGAATAATTCTCCAGAAGAGGTGCAACGAGTAGACTCTAATAGTCATCACCAGAATGTCGAACATTCAATAGAAAAGACTGATTTTCCAAGAAAACAAGTGACGACAACACATACGATGGCTCTTCCTTATGAGGATGAGCTTCCATTAGAATTGGATAGCAAGAAACGATATCCTAGTCAACAGCCAACCCAAATGGGAAGTAAGAAACCAAGAAAGCCAATATCTTATGCTTTCATTTAAATGGAAAATGCAAATGAACAGAGTGTATTGCTAATTACATCTAAAAGGGAGCTTCTCCAGTTGCCAACCAATTTCTATCTTCAGCGACAACATCATCCCAAGACTCCTCTTCAGCTTCTTCTTCAGCACTTAAACGTAAATATTCTATAGCAGCAAAACGGTCCCAATCAGTAAGCTCGGGAGTGGCATGCTCTATTCAAGGTTCATTTCAAGAAAGAAAAAGAAAAAGTATCATTACCTTGACGAATCAAATAGGGATCCTTATTTTCGATGGAAATAAACTTATTCAAGTTGAATAGTACATTGAAGAAGTTGCTTCGTAATTTGCATCTTCGTAACGTACTTCGAGTGATAATAGGTTCGAATAGATCAGGCCTAACCATATCTAATAGTTGACAAACAATATCTTCTAACGGAATAGGCTCATGCCCTAAACATTCCATTCGGTGAAGTTGTTCCGAATAAAAATATTCCATGTCATATAATGTTATCATTCCATCACCATCCAAGTCAATACATCGAAACCAGTAGTCCAATGCAACATCACTATTCTTGTCCTCTTCACTAATGCAAAACCAAATAAAATCCGTGTAACTCATAAACCCTTCCTCTTTACAGTCTCGAGGTCTTCCATAACCACCGAAAATTCGATCCACAATTCTGTAAGTAAGTGCATGTCCTCCATAACGAAGCATGTCTTCCTTATCAATTAACAAGTCATGATCGGTATCTAATTCCCAAAATCTACAATAAAGAACATAAAAGTGTTCATAAGAGAAAAATCTGCGTTCCCTATTGATATCTTCCTCTCGATCAACTTCTAAAAAAGTTTCAAAAATCTTTCCCTTTTTCAAGTCTGATTCAAACAGTTTAAACTGGTGCCAACGAGCGCAAGAGTAAAAAATCCGTTCAATTACTGTTTCTGCGTAACGATGTTGAAACTCTGGAGTGGCTTGGAGGAAGGCCAGTCCAGGATGAATCTGTAAAAATTCTTCTAAAAAAGGAAATAAATCCTCGTGTATGAGATAATTTCGATCGCTAATGCCTAAAAGAACTGAGAAAAGTAGAGAGTTTCCACTTTTCCTAGCACAAAAAGTGTCATAAAAGGAAATTACTTCCCGCTCCAATAGAAATTCTCTTGCAACTTCATTTTCTGAATCAGACATAATGTCATGAGAATCATCTCTCATAGGAAACTCTGAACCTACAAAACACTCTATATTTTCTTCATCTACATTAGAAAAGAATATTCCTACCTTGTACTGATTGTTTCAAGAGTCTATCAAACACAGGACCTCCTATAAATGAAGGTAACCCTAAGATGCCAGTCGTGAACTCTGTAAACTCTGTTCTTCCTAGCCTTCCTCCGTTGCGACTCAGAAATGTCTTAAGATTAGACCGTTGTCTTAGTTGCTCTTCCATGACTTCAGGAGAACCTTCCGGAAAGAAGAAACGAGGAATGTTTGAAAACCTTTGATACAACTGAGTGGATGAAGACTTGGACGACATTGTCTGAGCGGAACTCCTTCTATACAATTGAGCACGTCGAGGACTCATAGGGGGTGTTCCGCTTCCCAAGCTCAGGTCTGGTAAATAGTTCCCAGTGAGCGCTGCCCTTCGTGGAGACAAAGCCACCCTAGGAGAGAATGTTAAGTTAGCCATGATAAATCTCGTTGTTGGTGAAGCTGGTGTTTGATTGCCAAGTGACTGAGAGCTTGCACTCATATTGGGTGAGACCGTTTCTGAGCGTGATATGTCAATAGGAAACGATGAGTTTGGAATCATTGTTGACCCTATTTCACCCTCTGTTTCCATATATGTTTTCTTTTCTCTTCTAACAGGAACCGCTGACTTTGCTGCAAACTCCGTTTTGTTTTCAGTTTCAAGAGTAGCCGGAACGTTTCCGCTAGAAACTTTCTCGTTTCCTGCTTCTGTTTCCGCCACTTGATAATTCTTGCGGGCATCGATCAGACGATGAATAAGTGCTTTTGTCTCTGCCTTGGAGAGCCATGCGAAAAACAGTTCGTCTAGTTTCAGTTTTGGATAAGGTCGGACGTCTGCCACGGATGGAGACACAGAGAAGTAAGTATCTTTTTGTGCCATATCCCAGTCACGTTCTTCTTCTTTGTTATTCTGCGACTTGAGTCCGCTTATTTGGGACATAAGCTGCTACAGAGACGACACTATTGAATGATGATGGTGTGCCACAGTTTGCCAAATCGGGAAATAGAATCATTGCATTTTTTTCCTCGTTGGAAATGGCGCCATTTTGATAAAGGACATGAAGGTATGGTGTGAGAAAGTTTACCTCTATTTCCTCCCTACGCCTATCTCTGTTGTTTATCTATGCAAAAGCTTTCAATATCGACAACATATGGGCATTATTCAATGCATAGTATCCTGGTCTTCCAAACTGTCTTGGTTTTGGATATTCTAATCTGTTTCTATATGTGCAAGCAAAGCGGTCAAAAGGGAGCGGGAAAAATTCGAGAAACTTTGGCCAACGATTGTATCAGTCGTCGATTCTCGTTCTGATGAAGAAGCGAAGATTTCTATTCTCTTTAGGAAAGAGAAAACTTTTTTGGTTAGTAACGATGATTGGTTTTCTATACTTATTTTCTCCCATGGGAAGGAGTAAATACTTGCCACCAGAAAGACAACGTTTAAACGAACCAACGAGAAAATTACCGCAAAAAGCTGACTTGAAAAGCATTTATTCTCAATTCCAATTTGCGGATTCGAAAGAGAGTACTGTGACAGTTATCATAAGTTGCTTTATGCGTCCCAACAGCTTTGAAACCGTTGCTTTGTCTTTTTTGAACCAAACAGCACCCATAGTAGATGTCATCGCGTATGTATCCGGTTCACCTTTCAAAGAAGAATATCTTGCAGTGGTTGAAAGAATAAAGAAAGTAGATTCAAGAATATCCGCTTTTGTCTCAGACGTCAATCTAGGATACTTTGGGAGATTTCAGGTTGCCCTTCAGGTGAATAGTGACTTTGTGGTATTCGCGGACGATGACGTGATTCAAGGAAGAAAGACGATAGAAGCTTTCATAAAAGCTTATAGATTTGCCGGTTTTGTAGGTGTATTGGGTGTTCGAGGTGTTATATACGATAATATCTTTCCTGCTTGGTTGAAAAAACTGAAGCCTTCAGTTATATCAAGAAAATATGGAACAATTCAGTCAGAGCTATCGTTTTCCAGTACACGACCAACAGAGATACAAACTCATTGGCTGAGCTCAGGTGCTGAAGTAGATACTTTGTTTAGCTTCTGGTTTATGCCTTCATCTTGGGTTCAGTTATTGTATCTTGAACAACCTGTTACCACATTGACTGCGGAAGATATCTATATATCCTATATAATACAAAAATATTTGGAAAAACCAACTTATTATTTGTATAGTGACGACCCAGATTTTTGTGGATATCTTTCTCCAGAATTAGGCAATCATAATAGAAGTTGGGTTGACGTAAAAGACGAATTACCCAATATCACATTATCACAACTTCACGACGCTCTGTCTTCTTCATTTGTAACAAGCAATATATCTTCTAGGATGTATCGATGGGTTCGAAATGCTGTTTTAGCTTCTCTTGTAGAACGTGGATTTTATTTGAAGAGAATGGAAAAACTACGAAGACGCCAAGGTCGTGCATTATTGATATTTCCTAGTTCGTTTGAAAAAAATAACGTGGAACAGACAATAGTGAAGTGTATGGAAGAACCTGATACAAGTATCTGGATCTTGTGTAGACAGCCTGATTGCAGGGAATATGTTGGTTCGTCTAACTTCCTTGCAGATATACTGGATGGTCCCTACTCTATTATCTTTTCTAACAAAATTTTCCGAATAATACTCCCCAATCAAACGAGTCGCAGTTCATATTACTCGAGGTTTTTAATGGATATCACAGCTCTTATGAGAAGTCAAAAAATATCTGATATTTCAGTAATATCTCCAGACTCGCTGGAACTCCAAACTTTGAAATTGGCGGCACAATTAGAAGAGGTTGAGTTGCATGTATATGATAGTCACTGATGCCACATTATTTGCCAACTAGCGATTATGGAAGCAGTTTTAAATATTATCATCTATTTGTTTGAATAGTTTCAGAGATATGAATGTGTTGAATTGCCAACCACCAAACACAGGGAAAGCAACTGTTTTTTTAGAAAATTTATCTCTACTATTAAGGACATTGAATTTTTTCGACCAATCGACTAAACAAATTGATGATGACTACTTGTTTAGAATCAGATACATACAACAAAAATCTTCCAAATAAAATGTCCCATTCAGGTTCAAATTTCAATTTATTCTTTCTCGCAACTATAGTTTAGACATTCCAAGAATAAACTCAAACGACAGGCCAAAAGATAAAAGCGAAAAGAAACCAACGCGTAAGATTCAAATAATCCAAATACTTGAAAGCTAATTCGTGAGAGCATGCGCTTTGCAAGAAAGTTAAGACTGTTACAACTAAAAACATTTTCTTTTTCAAAGTCGTTTGTACTGCAATCATGCAAATGAGAAACACAAAGTGGAGATATAAAGCAGGCTTGTTTCAGAAGAAAAAAAATTTTACGTTTCTAAGACAACAAAAGAATGCAATTCACGGTTTTGTAAAACGTCCAAAATTAAATATGATTGGTTTCTATCGTTTGGCACCATTTTTACTTTTGGCCAAACCAAGTTTAGGTTAATTTGAATTATTTTTTTTAATATTTACAGTTCGTCAACAGAAAATTAAACTTACTGGTTTGAATTAACTTTCCTTTTTCAGAAAAATTAATAGTTTACAAGAGAGGTTGATCTCACTGTGGTTTTAAATTTTCAGTTTTTCTGCAATTGTACAGCAGCGTTTTAAACTAGTAAAATAGTCTTCTTTATTAAACTTTCTATGCATACGAAATTTTTTGTTTCTGACTGCGAGCTTTTTGGTTAAGTAATGTATCAGCTACCGATATTGGTTTGCAGGGTCTTTTTAGAGAGTTCCAAAATACCTGTCTCCAAAATCACCGCAACCGGGAACTATGAAACCTTTATTGTTCAGGTGTTCGTCTATTTCTCCAGTTACGATGGTTATTTTGGGGAACTCATTATGTACCCGGATTATGCCATCTTTTGATGATAAAATATTTACTAAAATAATTTTTTCCTCCTTGACACCTGCTTGAAGCAAAAGTTGCAAAGCCATAGTAGCAGTGCCTCCAGTACCAAGCATAGGATCCATCAACAAAACGTGACGTTCCGAAGTATCTTCTGGAAGCTTGGAGTAGTATAAACAAGGCTTTATGGAGTGTTCATCTCGCTGAATCAGGATTTTGCCTATACGAACGTTTCTACAAACTGCTCTTAAAGCCGTTTCCATCGCTTCTCCAGCGCGAACTATAGAGACTCCTAATATTTTGGTATGGAATTCAACTCCCTGATAGTTTGCACGAGTTGGAGTTGTCACTTTTTTTTCTTGTACGGGTAGAAAGTTGAGTGCAAATTCGATCACGAGTCCTAGACTTATTGAGCGAAAAAAGGTTACTTTGCAACACCTTACGAATCACTCTATCTGCGTAGAAGACGAAATCAGAACCGTTGGTATTTTCATCTCTTATGATAGTCATCAGTGCTTTCAACTGACTGGTTATGGGGTGTACATGTACAGAGTCCATAACGGCATTGGAAAATGCAGATGTTCTTCGTTGTTGTTGTTGTTGGTGGTGGTCTATATCTCTTTCTCTCAAAGCATGATGGATACTGTCAAAGTGATTTCTCTGTTTTATAAAATAATAGATATGGCGTAATATATCTACAAATGCCATAAAACAAAACATCCGATACAAAAAATCAAACAAAACTTCGCTCTAAAAAGTTTTGCAATTCATCTTCTTTCGTATCCGTCACTCGAAAATAATCACCGTCTTCATTTTCCATTGCAAATAAATAATGATTTAAAGTATTTAAAAAGTCATCGTTGGATCTTTCATCAAAATCATCCCAAGAACTAGAGGATAAATACTGCATATCTTTTAATTTTCTTTTCGTTCCCAAGCAGTAATTTTGAGGATTCAATTCAAATGGCTCTTCTTGCATACGCTTGGTAACCGACTCCGAAAGCTTTCTTTCGTTTTTGTTATTGCGTACGAAATTGTCCTATCCAAGTCTCGGTATCCAGAATTCAATAAACTACTCAACTCACCTCAACATCCGACGTTTTCTCGATAGGATCAAAGTCAATCCACTGCAACGATGCATCCGACTCCGTGCTTTGGTTAACAACTCCATGAGATACATCATATTCACTACTTCTCTCTGATGATGGAAGACTGTAAGTCACTCCACATTCATATAAGCCGACTTGAAGGTGTTCCATTTCCCCAAGTTTCGTTTCTGTCATGGTATGTCGTTCTCTAACTTCAAAGTCTGCCACGTTACCAGCAGTAGTACGAGTTGAATGACTAAACAATTGACTACTTAATAATTCAGCAGCTTGAAAGACAGTTCCTTCTGTTTTCATATTTCCACAATTGGCATTGCGTTCCTTGTGTGCTCTCTTTACGGATAAAATATATCTACGGCGTTGCCTTCTTTCCAAGGAGTTCATATTTCCTGACTCTTTCTGCACCGACTTATCATCACAATGTTGTCTCTCCATGGATAAAAATTCTTTGATCATCATAGCACCGTCATGTATGTTAATCATACGGTAATTTGATATTTTTCTGAACATGATTAGGAGAATCCGAGTCTGTCTCATCAGCATTCAAAGATTCTTCATTTGTTTCTCTTAAAACATGGGTGCATTGTCTATAAGGAAGAAAACAATCATCAACTACTGACATATCCTTATAAACAGTTTTCCTGGCTGTCCCATAAAAGATACCCAAGTGACGCTTGGCCTTCGCTCTGGATTTTGGGATGATGGAAAGCAGACGCTCTTGTGCTAATGAAAGAAGGTGTACTCTAGGGTCTGCAAGTTGTGCTAACATATAAGAGTCTTCTTCACTTTCGGGTTTCTGATCATCCACTCTTTGCAGTACCAATTCCACTGATTTTAACAACTTGGAAGGTAATTTACCGTGAGGTGGGGCTTCGTATAATACAAAATAACGAATTCTGTGATTGCTATTTGCAAACTTTAACCACGACGTCATGACAGTGTTGTTCTGGAACCAGTGCAACTGAACAAGCGCATGAGAGTTGAGAATGTGCACAATTCTCATAGCTTACCTCTAGAAACTCATTGTTGCTCAAATCCAAAGCAAATCTTCTACAAACAGGTTCTACTGTGGGTACCCAATCAGCAGGTAGAACCAAGTGATAATTGGCCAACGACTAGAGAGAGGACATCAATTTCGTTCATTTTCTATCGACCGCTTACTTACGTAACCGATGAGTACGCCGTTTACAACGCCAACTGGTTTGAAAAGTTGGTCTACAAATTTGGGTTTGGAACCAAGGAAGACTCTGTGACGTAAAGCTAAAGAAGAGTCCATGAAAGAGGGTGGTAATTTAGGTTCTTCCCTAGCCAACAACCACTCTCTCGCCACTTCGTGTTGTAACAACCTCAACGAATATACGCTACCCATACTTGCTTAATCCAGAAAAATGAGAAAATGTCTAATTTCCCCATTTCACACGTGTGTGTGTGTGTGTGTTCGTATCTCATTACCCTTTTCTTTCCCTTCCACTTTCTCCTCCTCTCCTTCGTTCCCAAAACAAAAGGATGCCAAGGTATGCATTTTTCGTTCAACTTCTTTTGGCGCCAAAATAACAATTTTTTTGGCGCACTTGAAAAAAACCTCTCAAATAATATATATATATATATATGTATATGTATAGAATAGTTAGACAGAACAAATCTCAGATTATCGTAGTTGTAGATTGGATAAGAATTGTTCTGCTTCGTTATCTTTTATAACCATTGTATTTTGTTGCAGCTATAGTAACCAGAAATATTGACTCCCCTTTTGACCGACACTTGTATAAGAGTGTTTGGTGTTTTGATATAGTCTTCAGGTTTAGATGCAACAATTATCCTCTCCGTTGAATATCTCTAGTCATTAGAGTATATGTAGTTTTTTGGAACCAGATTGATGACTACATATGCGCATATACTTGAGCTATGATCAACAAAAACCACTAAATTAATTTGAATGGATATGGACGATTGGATCCCCGCAATAGATATGTGATCGGAAGAGGGAGATGTTTACCATCGATTGGAATTGTTCATTTTGGGTGGAATTGGGATATATACCTTGAGAGATGAGTTCGTTGTTGCAACGAATGAGTGAAGCTAGGAGAAACTTTCAAGAAAGGTAAACTTGAAATATTTCTGTTTCTACATACTCATGAGCGTCGGTTTAGAAAAAATAGAGGGTCGAACGGAACAACCCATCATATGGACCCCAACGATGTCCCAGCTTCACCTAGAGCAGACTCCTCTGTACATTCAGAACACTCTGTTGCTTCCGCTTGTTCAGATGGAGGGGATTTCCACTCAGAAGAAGAGCGTATGGGGTCTCCTATCCACTCCTCACATCTATCCCAGAGTTTGCCTGGTAGCTTGGACTTTTTTATGAAACGCTGGTCTCGAGGTTCTAATAATAATAATAATAGTAAGGTTCAACAAGAAACAACAAAGCCCATGGATATTCCTTCGGATTCAAGTCCTGTTGATAGTCCAGTAGCTAGCGCACCTCAGGGTCCTGGTTGGTCTTCTAGAAGAGGGCACGTGGAAAAGGCTGCCAATGTAACCAAATCTTTTCGAGACGTGTGGCTAACTCCTGATTGATATATTGAGTGTATATGGTATTTGTGGTATGTGAGTGCATATTTGTGGTGGATGAGAAAATGATGACTATGCTTGTTTTGCATAATATATGGGGAGCAGACCTTGTGTATTTTTTATATCATGGCTATTACCATCTCGAGAATAGATGATGTGTATTCTATTTGACAAAATGATATAACTTTTTATAATCCAATGCTAACCATTCGAATTGAAATTATTACGATAGGAATAAAAACACACGAGGATATGCTCTCATCATAAGAAGGAGCCATTACAGAATAGACAGAGAAAGGAAGAAGAAACCAGCATTTGCTCATTTCATTCATTGTCCAAAAAAAGAAGTTGTGAATCTCTCCTATCGTATGACTATATATTGTTGTGTAAGAGGAGTTTGAATGGGTACTTTTCACGTTCGAGAAGGTTTCTTTAACGCATCTCGACTACGCAACCTTCTTGGTTCATCAATGGAAGCGATCACATTTTCTTCCTGAACGGACTGACTAGTACTCAATGTTCCACTACTGCGTCTCTTTGTTTGTCTCGTTTTCACGATTTCTGTAGATGATGTTTTGCTTTCTCTACTCAGTCTCTTTTTACCACCGGCTACACTTTTCGCTGGATGATAAGTACGATAAGCAAATAATATCTATCACACACCATTATATGGTGAATCGTTTCCAACATAACATTCACTTACTGGAATAACGAAATAGGGTAAATACGCCGACGTGAATATCCAAGGTGCAGGGTTCTTATATCTTCCAAATACATATTCCGATATGACAAACAAAAATGAGTATCCAATGATGGAAGCAAACACGACGGCTGGTATACGTATCCATCGACTAGCAAGAGTTAAATCAAGTTCTCTATTCCTCATTGCTCACCTCTTCCCGAGTCCACGATATATAGCCACACAACAAGCTGTGCAGAAAAAGGGATAAATAGTCACCTACAAGTATAAGGATGTATCAACGAGACAATCAATGGGAAAATGTGAACATACCTCGAACCAAGTCATTGCACGAAACCACAAAGGTGGATTGCCAAGTAGTGGGTCACATAAACGAACCCACCAAGCAACTAATTCTTTGGTCACAGTCGGTGGCCAAGAAGATAAACCAAGTGCTGTACTATTGGATACATGTCGCTATTTCAATCCAGTTTGGACTCTCTTTTCAACACTTACGCATCAATAAACCAACTGATGGGTATAAACGAAAGGAAAAATATAAAAAACAAGGTATCTACGATCAACATACTTTTTTCATGCAATAATAAAGGAAACGGTGTTCAATCTCTTTCTATGCGGATAGAAATCCAATCGGTACAAGAAAAACACCAAGTCACGATTGAAGAATTGAATGAACCCCAACACCCTCTCCTCCCTTTCCTCTTCATCCTTCTTCTTCTTCTTCTTCTCTTCGGGGCACATCTCAACTGGAATCCTATCCAAAGAAAAAATGGCGGGCTAAGTAGCCGTTACATGAGATGGATCCATCATCATCATGGATGGGGGAGTTTTTATGTCGAGAGTGGGAAGAAAAATACAAATTCTCTCTCTTTTTTCTCTCTTTTTCTCTCTTCTCTCTCTCTCTCTCTCTCTCTCTATATATATATATATATATATATATATGTATATATCAATAGGACACATCTTCACCATGCTCTATTATTTTATTCATTCATATCCATCATCCATAATGCTGAAATACACTTATTGAAGGAGACAAGTTGTTTTTTTAAATACTAGTACAAACTATTATTAGATTATTCTACTATCTTGAAAGAGTGATATTTGTTATTATTGATTGGAAAAAGGAGAATCACAAATCTTCATTGGGATTGGCTGTTGATTAACAATATGTCATTTGCTTCCCAGTTTCGGTACAAAGTGTTGCGACAAGAAGACGCCACAGAAGCTACCAGACAATTAGAGTTGGACGTTATTGCAGGTTTACAGTCACAACCTAAACATCTTTCGTCTACCTACTTTTATGACCATGAAGGTAGTGGTAAGTTGTGTTCAACCCTCCGCGGATGAACACAAATGAATTGTTTTTTTCAGCGTTATATCAACAAATAACCGAATTGGATGAATACTATTTGACTCGTTGTGAATTTGAGATATTAAAGACTCACGGTAGAAAGATATGTGATCGTTATTTTGGACACGGCCAACCTGTCAACTTGGTAGAGTTGGGAGCAGGTGATGGAAGAAAAACTAGAGTTTTATTAAAAGAGTTGTTGGAAGCTCAGGTTGATTTCCAATATGTACCTATTGACATATCGGAGTCTGCTATGAAAGAACTTGTGATTGGTTTAAAGAATGAGTTTCAAGACAGCCACTTGCAGTGTTTTGGGTTAGTTGGAGACTACAAAGATGGGTTACAGTGGTTATCTTCCCAACAACACTTTAGAAAAAACTTTGTTCTTTTCTTGGGTTCTTCTATTGGCAACTTTACTAGAGAGAATGCTATTCGCTTTTTACGTGGATTGTCTCAGATATTAAGAGATGGAGATGAGTTGTTATTAGGAGCTGACTTGTTAAAAGATCCCACGATGATGACTCGAGCCTATATGGATTCGAAACAAGTAACCACCCATTTCAATCTCAATTTATTGAAGCGTATCAATCGCGAGTTGGAAGCGGACTTTGATTGTAGTCAGTGGTATCATTATGCGTTTTATCGAAGTGATATTCAGGCAGTGGAAAGTCAGTTGATTTCCAAAGTCCCTCAACAAGTGTCTATCGGTTCTTCAGGATTGCGTTTTTCGTTTGCCGCTTTTGAATCTATTCATACCGAATATTCTCACAAATATCTTTTACAAGAGTTGGAAGAGATGGCTGCTTATTCCGGTATGCAGTGTTGTGAGTTTTTGTTGGATGAAAACAAGTGGTTTGTGGACTGTATTTGGAAAGTTGATTGTCACAGCAAAGGTTTCCGTAGTTGATTTTGGACGACGACAACAACAATAAAGTCAAAATATGAAGAAAACTAGTTGCTGCAAGTAATAAATACAAGTGTTTTGGGTTATACTCCATATCTCTCATAATCATACGAAAGAGTCATTTGAGTTCAATCGATCCAAGTGTAAAAGCCATCTTCCTTTCAAGTGCTCGGAATGAAACATTTTCTAGGTATAATAAACTAATTCTACTAATCCTAACATGATTGCTATGTATTTGGATAAAGTTATGAAAGTTGTGGTTTCAATTCTTGTCTAACAGCAACAATCAACAATACTTACTACTTGAAATCATACCTACAGAATCAAATAGTTGCTGATAAAAGATGGAATAGAGGCGATAACCTTTTTTCATAAATAAGAATAAACCTTTAATAATATATTATTATGTTCTTATACCAGCTTCCATCCATTTCTTTGCTTGTGGATATTGTTCAAGTCTCTTTTGAGTCCAACGATATAAAATACTTTTGGCTCATAAAAAGGATACCATAGCTGCCAATCATTTAAAAGTATACATACAAGCAAGTCCATAATACAGATTCATGGATAATCCAATTGCCATTTCTATAGCAACCGTACCAGGAAAACAACCAACAACAGCTATGGTATGTACTCCAAAGAAAATAACAAAACGTAAAGGTAAATCAAGTGACTGAATCCATTGCAAACTACTTTTCATAAGATTCAGAATCTATACAATCTTTTAACTTGCCTAGATGATAATATAGGCCAATTATTGTGAACAGTTACTAGACATATTCTATCAAGTTCCCTCATTCACTTGATAGACAAGAGACTTATCCAAAAATAATAACAGAACAGCTATTCCTTTGGTGATGCTTTTCGTTGTATATTTCTTATTCGAGTTGGATATACTTGTTGAGAAGAAGGTCTCTCTTCTGTCCGACAAACAAGTTGAGGAGTAACTACTCGGAGATTTTTCTTTGCAACCGACACAAAACTACCTTTGTGACTATAACAACAAATAGGTTGTCTGTTGCAACAATTCCTGTAATATCTTCTACTAGTGAGTTGATATACAACTCCTATCAATGAAAAACAACAGCGGTATTCTCTTTTCATATATTTGGCTTTTTGAGAGGAAGAAAATGTTCCAAAAAGCAATGGCAGTTGTTTGATGATGATCGGTTTTCAGTTGTTCATTTGGTTGAATTGGAAACGAAACAGTCGACTGTGTTACTCTTTTGGTCTACATACGCATATTAGGTGGTCATCTCTTTGTTGGACATATTGGGGTGTCATACCAAAGCTTGGCATGTCTACACAAAAGATGTTGGCGGGTCGCGTTTCGAAAGCCTTGACTGAAAAGACTAGTCGTCGTACTCAAAAGTATCGTTGGAATAGCTCAAAAAATAAATATTATGCCATAGTTGGAGGTAAGAATGGGTTTACTGGAGTAGTAGACAATTGGGATGCTTGTAAAGACCTCGTTCATCGTGTAAGAAACACAAGATATAAGAGTTTTAAAAGAAGAGAAGCAGCTGAAGAATTTGTGAAAACTCTAGCAGGATTAGGAGAAGACTTTGGAACTTTTCTATTCCAAGTTCCACCTAATGAACCTTTTACTTGTGTCAATCCACAATATAAGGAACAAGGGAAGCGTATACTTAAACTATATACTGATGGTGCTTGTATTTCGAATGGAAGTTGTAGTGCAAAGGCAGGATATGGAGTTTATTTTGGTGATGGAGACTCAAGAAATATAAGTAGACCATTGTTGGGTCAAGTACAAACCAACCAACGTGCAGAATTGAGTGCTATGATAGCTGCTTTGGAAAGTGTTTGTAAGGAACCTATTGTTTATGAATCAGAAGCTGAAATATATATTTATACAGATTCCAGATATGTAAAGGATATTTTAACTGCAGGTTGGTTGGAACAATGGAAACTTAACCACTGGAAAAGAAAAGTAGGAGAGTTGAAGAATTTGGATCTTATTCAACGTCTGGACTATTTATGGAACAAAGTACATCAACAAAGTAAAGCTAAAATAGAAATTGTTTGGGTAAAAGGACATGATGGATTAAAAGGCAATGAAGAAGCTGATAGACTAGCCACTTTAGGCATTCATCAAAGATTAAGTCGAGATAATGTATAAATGTTATATCTTTTGAATTGTTAATATACACCCAGCAATCCATTCTTTCTACTATTTGTAGGCGACAGTTTATTTTCAAAGTGATATGAGAAAATACTCGAATATTTGCTATGATACACTTCCACCAAAAGGAAGCCAAAACATGAGTAATGACTTTGTTGATACAAACTCCTCCAGAAGCAATTCTTTCCATCACTTGCTCATCCACGAGTGAATCATTGGAAAATATATACAATACGAATGTTCACTATACCACGACATATACTTGTTCTAATGATTTCTTCCTTCATTAAACAATCATCTAGAGAATATATAGCGACAGAACTAGGCTTATCAAAAGAACCCATATACAATTTGACCGCGAGTATGGTTCAATAATACAACTGGATGATCAAAATGAGTTGCATTCATTATATAAGAATAATCACTGAGTCATTGCATAGTCTACAGAAACACATATCTGATCACAGTTGAAAGTCTTTCAGACGAGACAATCATTCTCGCAGTCTTTTGTCATCATCATACAAAATAACATTCATGACTCACATCTTTACCAATCACAACTTTTGTAACTGCGTGATCAGTTACTTCTAGCCAATGGATAGTAATGGAGAAAGATGTTTGGCAGTAGCTTTCATGATCTTATGTGCTATAGAAACTCCCCTAGTTTTAACCCCTTTCAGTTTCACAACGTTCAACACTCAAATATTGTGAAAGAAGAGCTTCCAATAAGTGTGCAATATTGGGAGCTTGTTCAGAGGGTTTTAACAAAACGATGTTTTCTGCCGTAATGGCGCTAAAAAGAGACAGTAACTATGCAAACTTGGTCAATCCCATTCAGGTGAATCCTATTCTATCTTAACATCTTGTGGCTTCAGTCGCATCTCCTATTAGCAAGAAAACAAAAACGAGTTCTCTCACATATTCTAGTAGCCATCCAATTCTTTCAGGTTTTAAATATTTTCTCAAGTTTTTATTGAAATCATTGACTAGAAGGAAATCTCTTCCAATCCTTGTAAACTGCTACAGAAAGAGCTTTTTCTTGTTCAAATTTTCGTTACAAAACCGACAAAAAACGCTCATACTTTTGGGAATAACGGTTCTCAAAAAGTTAATAAAAGTAAGATATTTATGCTAAGCGTCTCTATTTTTGCCCTATCATGATGATGAAATGATGTTTACAAGTTGTCATAAGAATCAATGAGTATATTCGAAAGACAAATAAGACTTGAGATATTGTTGAGTATACACATTGAGAAATGGATTGTCCATTGACAGCTGAAAAGGACTTGAGTGAATGGAAAAAGTTTCGTTTAGACTCTGACAAGAATGACTGGATTGAGGATATAGATATTTCTGGTGCCAAGTCTTTGTATGAAAAGGAAGCTCAAGACAGACCACTAAGAGTACTAGTATTGTATGGTTCCTTAAGACAACGGTCTTTCTCTCGTTGTTGTGCTTATGAAGCAGCCAGATTGTTGGATTATTTGGGTGCAGACGTACGAGTTTTTGATCCTACAGAGTTACCTGTAAAAGGTCAAGTGGAGGAAACCCATCACAAGGTCCAAGAATTGAGAGAATTAGCTCTTTGGTCAGAAGCACAGTTTTGGTGTTCACCTGAAATGCACGGGAACGTAACGGGTTGTTTTAAAAATCAGATTGACTGGATACCACTTAGTTTAGGTTCCGTGCGTCCTACACAAGGTCGTACTTTGGCTATATGTCAAGTGAATGGAGGTTCACAATCCTTTAACGCAGTAAATACATTGCGAGTATTGGGAAGGTGGATGCGTATGTTTACTATTCCAAATCAGTCTTCTATTCCTAAAGCTTGGCAAGAGTTTGATGAATATAACAGAATGAAACCTGGTCCTTTGAGAGATCGATTGGTCGATGTAGTTGAAGAGTTGGTCAAGTTTTCGTTGATGTTGAGAGACCATTCTTCTTTTTTAGTAGATAGATATAGTGAAAGGAAAGAAAAGGGAG